TTTAGATGTAGTCAATGATGGTGCTCTCTGTCCCTCTGTATTATTCGGAGTTCGCCGAAGTGTCTCGACATATTTTTCCCTGTTGCCTCTTGTTAGCTTACATTTGATTTTAACACCACCTGTGCCAATCTCGAGATGTCTTCTCGCCATACCGTAACTACTTTTCTCACTGAAAATAACCAGTTTTCAAGGGCCTATTTTCTGTTACAGGTCTTTTTGTGCCACCTTAACATGGAAGACCTTTCGTGGCTCACAGCACCTCGGGACACGTAGGACAAGCAATTTCGTAAGTTACTGTCTTTTCATACGCAATGCATAGACCCCTCTGCCACACCCACGTTGCCCCTGGACGCTTATGAGGATTTCATCAGAGCGAAGATAAGTGAATCGTCGGGCTCCATCGTAAGTATTTTCTTGTTTCTCTCGTTTTGTAACTTTTTCTTCTGTAGATCCCACTTGCCACAGAGGGCACTCTGCCATACGTTCCGGACGGTCATCTGGTCCGTGTACGCGGTATGATCCAAGACAATTTCGATTCGGAGCTCAACATTGCATCGTATCGATCCTCAGCTTAGGCGACTTCTGTCAAGTCTACTCGCTATCGCGATGTGGAATATCTGCAGGTTGGTGTCTACAAAAGTTATTTTGCGTGCATTGTGCAACCTACCCGTTGTGGCTAAAGAGGCTGAACTTTTGGGAGCAGCGAAACGAAGCAGAAGTGTATTGTGGGGAAAGGTCCTTTTGAAAGGGGGGATCGGTAGCAATAGAAGAAGGCCCTACACACATTTCAGTTGTCTGTTATTGCTTGCCAACCACATTCTGGAAATATTATCTGGTTGGAGGTGCTACCGGCTTCTAGGTGGCCACTCAAAATCGGAGTGAAGCCCAACCACGCATCCGTGATCTGTAAAAAAACCACTAACATAGTTGTCCTCGTGACAGCAATACTGACCTTGAGCATCTGCCCTTTTTCCAGGAGGCGATCAGAGCAGTGCAGCAGGTTTTAGGGGGACAGCCTTTGGGTGCCGACACAGAGGTGCCACTGGTGCATGGGAAAAGGATGAAGACGTGAGACCGGTACTAAGGCATCATGGTTGTCCCGGTCGCTCCCCACTACAATTAATCCGACGAGGTCGAAACTTTCAGCACGCACTAAAAGTCATGGTTTATAGGGCTACCCGTTAATGGGAAAACTTAGTCGTTATTTTAAACAAAGCGCAAACTGCAATTGTGCCTTTGTGTGCCGTCTTTGGCACATCTCGCTTCTGCGAAATCTGCGCTCTTAAGTGACCTGTAAGGCGTCAAATGCACGTCACGTTAACCACGACACCCGATCTCCTTCTCAGTCGATTTGATTCGGATAGGTCACTGGCAAATGTGAAAGGAAGAAGAATTTGAAGCCAATCAAGCTCAGACCAGACACCTACTGCCTTCGCGTTAAACTGCCACCACGCGCTAAAAACCTTGACTGGCAATGTCTTTAGCTGACGAGCTAACTCGTCCTCCTGTGAATGAGAGTCAGACTTCAATGGCTCCATTTGAAAGTACCCGTTATGATACCTCTCAACTTTTCGATCTCTGACCGTCTCTTGTTTGAGTCTCATACGTTGAGAGTCATGGATCGTATCCTGTACTGCACGCGCAGATAGGCTGTTAGAACCCATCAGCCAATATCCCCTGGCCTATCTCCGATCACCTTGTTCTCCTGTGCCATCGGAACACGATAAGTGTAGACAGAATGAAGTGGGGTACATGTGTTGCAAACCCGCTCCAGTATAAAGAACCTCACGCGCAAGTCACTATTGCTCCCATTTTGTTGGCCGGTCATTGGCATTGTCGTCTGCTGCTGCCGAACTGCGGTGTGGAT